CAAAGATGTTAGAATTGTGTCGATGTCCCAATATTTCTGGACCTGACTGTATATACTATTATACAGAATTGCAACTTCTAAAATTCTTAAGTCAGCACAAAAGCTGGATCTGATGGGCAAAAAGCCTTGGGGATGGCTACTTTTTCTTATAGATTCATGATGTTCTTTTTGGGCTCATACAGACCTCTTCAGGAGGATGGTCATCTTCATTATGGTTCTTGTGATTAGCATGTTTCCCCACGCTGATTCGTTTATCAGGTGCCTCTCGCTTGCTGGTATGTCGATACCCATCCCCACTGGCAGGGTTTGGATCCTGATGTCCATGAGTAGCTGAATGATCATTATTGTGTTCATGAAAACGTACATGTGAGAAAGACACATCGTGCATGTGGTCATGTTTGTGGACATGATTATGTTCATATTGCTCATCTGAGTCATGATTGGGAGTAAAATCTTGCGTTGTAACTCTTGAAACTTCCCTGTTCTTCATTTTCCGCCATTTCTTAGGGTGCTTACGTAATTTTCTTTCAGGTTGTTCCTGAGTAGTGTTGGTTTCTGTGGAAGGCTCATGACTTGGTTCCCCATGATCACTGGTGTTAATGGAGTCATTATGAGATTGATGAGTACTATTATGGTCCATGTGGCGATGCACATGACGGCGGTGATGATGCTTGTGGTGTCTGTGATTATTATAATCATGAGCATGTCTACCGTCAGGTTTCAAAGATGCTTCTGTAACTTCTTTCACTGGATCACACTTCTGGCTCCTTTTGCTAGACCCTTCGTTTGCAGTCTGATTTTCTGAGCTTAGGTGATTATGGGAATGAAGATGGTTGTGGGAATGAGAATGCTTTCCTTCCTGTGTATCTAGTACATCTAAGTAAGAAACATAATCGTGACCAATGTCCTCATGATTTATTTCTACTATTTTAACTTCTCCAAGGCCAAGGCTCATCAACAATTTCTCCAGGCCACAAAACGACAACTTTCCATTCTCACCATAGCGATTAAAGAGTTTTTCAATGTAGTATTTCTGTTTAACTTCAGCTTCCTTACTTGGTTCAGGCTCGGTCCTTTCGTTTTCTGAGATCTGACAGTCATTGTGACTATGTTCACCTTCATGACAATGGTGACATTGATGAAAGACAAATGTCAGCAAACAAATGAGGCAAAATTGCGTGTGCCTATGAACCTTCATTTCTGTTTTCTGCAAGGAAAGAAAAATGAAAGCCCCATCTGTTAAGTTCTTTGGAATGGTGCTGAATTACTTGCAGCAATAAATGTTGTTTAAAATGACAGGAACTACAATTATTAATTAAAAAAAACCTTTTTAAAATAAATATGTCTGTACCTATGCATGTCGAGTGTACAGTGCACATGGGACCAGCCCAAGAAACTTTAATCAAAATATATAAAGGTAATCTTTATCAGTAATTACATTTTTAATAAATGCATTTGTAAATCAAACATAGCTATTCCTATGCAATTTCTTGGCAACTTTTAAAAAGCAAATGGAAGGTATAATCAAATTGGTAAAGTATATTCAAATTCCTATTTATGTATGGAAAAGTAATCAGTGTTTCAAATCTCTGAATAATATATTGGCTTTGATGTTCTATATACTTATGTTCAAATGAGGGAAAAAAATGAAATAGAGGAGGAAGAGAGGAAAATGTTGTTTTATTTAATTAAAAGTTCTTGGGATCAAAGGTTTTTTCCAAAGAGCTCATAGTTTCTCCTATGAAAATGTCCATTAATTAGAAGATTGTCTTAAGATCTCCAGTAGCACCATTATTAGAATACTAGAATCCTTATTATTTTCTAAATATATGCACACACTGAGAAACACTCCTGCCTTAAGTAGACAATTTTGAAAAGAATCTCTTTTTTCAAACATAACCTCCTTAAAACACAGAATTACCAATTTCAGGTCACTGATTTTGTTCTATTTTTATACATTTAAAATTAGGTCCCATTAACCTCATGGATGTCCTCCTCTGGCAAAATGTAAAAGCTGAAATTTGTTCAAGCAAAGGAACTGAGGTAAATTTTAAATTGATGATTGATAATGTATCTTGTAAAGCCCAGAATTTATAAGTTTTTAAAGTCACATTTTGTCTTAGGAACAGCTGGAAGAATGACCTGAGAGACTAAGCCATAAAGAACAAGAGGATTTGAATCAAAATAACAGAGTTACTAATTTATATTCAGCTCTTCCTCCGAGGACTCTGAATAGTGCTAAAGCCTCACAGGGATCCCGCAAGATAAGCTTTTGCTGAGGGCTAGTGACTTTTTCAAGGCCGCCCATCAACCTGCAATTTTAAATCTGTGTTCTGGAATTGTACATATTGAGGAATTTTACATATTAAAAAAAAAAAAAAAGACAACCTGCCCAACCAGCAACAACTCATAAGCAAACCATTATATAATGTCATGATCCTTCATCAACCTGCAATTTTAAATCTGTGTTCTGGAATTGTACATATTGAGGAATTTTACATATTAAAAAAAAAAAAAAAGACAACCTGCCCAACCAGCAACAACTCATAAGCAAACCATTATATAATGTCATGATCCTTAACCTAACAAATCAATCCATCAACTTTTTACAACCCAAGAGTGTATGTGTAGAGATGTATGTATATAATGTGTATGTGTATGCATGCATACATACACTCATAGTATTCCTTCTACTTGCAAAGACCACCCATATGAAATGGGTGTGTGTCAGCCCTCCAAGGTAGACCAAACCTGGAAACCAAAGACAAGCTAATGCTACTTCTATTATAAGGCTATAGAAATAGAATCTTGCAAGTCTGAATGTACTTCCCCCCTCCCTCCCTTTATTTTCATGAGAACTAGGGAGGGTCATGTCTGAGATACTTTCTCAAATTACATTTCTACCCCAGACTCAGATTTCTTTTATCTGACTGTTGTCTTAGTTGTGGCTCTTCTCCTGTTCCTCAAAGTTATTCCTTCTGCCCATTACAAGGTGATTGTAATATGAATAGGAGAATATACAAAACTTGGAGATCACAGAACAAATCTCTAAGCTTACCCGAATGATTCAAAATCACTGACTTAAGTTATTCTCTCTTAGTCACACACGTGTTCATCGCACTAAATAAAACTGGGTAGCTATGTGTAGAATGGAATGATTCCATGCTACAAATGTTAAATAAACCCAACAGACTGGCGCTGTAATAAAACTAAGCCAGATACATGCATAAGTATAACATAACATGAGCCATAAATGTAAGTTTCCTGTTCATTCCAATGGCCTTTAAAAAAAAAAAAAAGCTTGCCATCCTAGGATGATCCAAATTATATGCCACATATAAATTAGTCATGCAAGTAAGCTGATAGATGCTACATGAACTAGGAAGAAAGTAGCCTGGGTTGCATGGTAGTTGTGAAAAATAAGTCTCATCATCTCTGGCCTACAGAAAAATGTAGGCTTTTGGGTTTTTAAAAGAGATGAAAACACAACACTAATTTTGACCAAGTGGATTTGCAAAGGAAGGACTGAATTTTCTCCCCTCTACTTGTTTGAGATGGCCATGGAGAAAAAGAAGCCAAGTTGACCAATGGAGAGATGAGAAGCTCCATCCTGCCTCCATGAGACTTAGCACTGAGAATTCTCAGAAGTTTTAAGCGGAAGAAGGAAGTTTCCACTATGCCTATCGATGTGTATTTATTCAGACTAAAATCAAACAATAAGATTAAAATGGATTAAGAACGGTTTTGCCAGGGTGATTTAACATCTAAGGAATCTTACCGTGTATAGACTGAATTAAATAACTGCTAGAGCTTCTCCCTTCCAGGAATCACCCTATGACTGAGGTAAAAGCTATTTCTGAATATGGTATAAGATGAATATCAAACTAGTAGCATCACTCTGGTCTGCCTTATCTTACAGCACAGGATCAGATATCAGGAATTTTGTACAAGTTATTCTCAGCAAAGGAAGGATATAGGAAGATGGGAAGAGGACAGATTCCTTTCTTTGCAATTTTTTTCTCTCCCAGGGCAAGTCTCTTACCTGAGAATAACCTACCATAATACAAAGATTAGACAAAGCCAAACCGAGAGCTGTGCGTATGGAATGGATGACTCTGAATGAACTGATGAAATCGAAAACTCAAAAATACCATGGCTCTGAGGTTCCTAAAAGGTAAACACCTAATTTTGAAATTCTGCCAATTTAATTACAACATAGAGTTGCTTTGGAACTTATTAAATCTATCCTATTATTGGCAACAGATGCTAAGCAAAGACTTTGTAAATTTAAGGAAAAGTTATAAAACATGAAAGGTAACAAAGTTTAAGTGATATGGAATAAAAACTACCACTTAAAGGTTCTGAATTACATTTGTTAAAGTAACGAATGATTTGACATAGTATATAAGGAAAATAATGCCGGTGGCATGGTAAATGCAATGGATGTGATCCAGTTGCTCCCAGGCAAGCCTATTTAAACAAAAGTAACCTTTCAAGAAGTAAACAATGAAAACAATTTTAAAGAGAAAGTCCAAAATGTTGTGGTCTTGAAACCCACTCTCTCCATATAATATTAATTTTAATTAAATGCAAAGTTATCTTAATTTGTGAAGTTTCAAGACAGAATTGTATAGAATATTAATCTAGAGAGGCAACTACAAAATACTAAGAGGACTCTGAAATGCATTAACTCAACACATTTTCTGGATCATATTTTTCAATGTTTGTCAACATACTAGTTGAATGAAATGTTTTAAATGATCTATCTAGTGATATTTGCAGATGAGGCTGCATGCCCTCTCCTTGAGATATGCACGGATATATGCAGCATGAAAAATTAGCTTTAACAGCTGTTTTCAAACACAGATTTTGATGGCTTGGTTATCAAAGCATGCTATGTATTAAAGTAATTCCCTTTTTAACATTGCCTTTTTCTTGGAAATTCTATTTAGTGTGGCAATATAATTTTTCTTGGAAACTCTCTTTAGTGTGGCAATATAATTCACAGGAACTGAACATTAGGTAATGTCTTAAAATTTGATTCTTCGATTACAGCAATAATTTGGTGACCCAGGCTTTTTTCCTTATGGCTTACCCAAGTCTTCCTCCTGTGAGGGAAGTACATGCAATCAATTCTAAAACATAAATAAAAAATATTTTAACTATCTAGGCACAGAAACCTGACAGCTATACAATTCTTAAATTAGCTTCCAGACTGAAGTGTCAAGAACTGAGGACCCAGTTAAATAAAATGACATACGTAATAATTCACTCAGGTATGAGGCTCAGTATTTCTGTGTTGTAATTTAGGGATGCTCCTTGGATTGGAAACAGAAAAGGTGCTTTGGAGGGGGTATGGGCACACTCACTGCACCTGACAGTGCCTCTTTAAAGCAGCCACATTATTTCCTAGGCTTGCAAATGCAGGAAGAGTGAAAGGGCATACCTTCCTTAAGGAGAGGCCAACAGGTACAATGAGTGTGACCGTGCCTACTCAGAAGCACCTTCTCTGTTTTGGATCCTAATAGCAGCACACCTCTGTTGTAAGCCACTAGAATTTAACTCAAGCCACCACAAAAGTGAAAATCTTTAAAATATTAGCCAAAAAAGATATGGCATTTGATTGCTAATCCTGTTTGAAAGTATGTTAGCCATAAACCTCAACTGTCAACTCCTGAGGAAAATTTCACTGACAGCATGGCAAATCATCACTTTGCTAAAGCACACTGCCAATTTAATAATTTAAAAAAATAAAATAAAATAAAAAGCTTGAGATGGGTTTGTCCTTCCTCCCTTTAAAAAGAAGTCCCCATCCTCTTTTTCCATCCTGTCAAGGTCCTAATCTGACCTTGCACACATAATTTGTTTTTTTATCAAGTAAAAAGCAACATCAGAAATACTATCAACTAATCAATCTAGGAATACGAGACCAATTTATTGATGAATGTGGCACCTTAAATTTCCCTTTGAATCTAAAGAGTAAAACTCACTGATGACAGCATGTAAAACTGTCTTGGTCTGGTCAGTTTTCAACCATAAACTTAAATAGGAAAGTAGATACATTATCTGTGATGCTGTCATTATGTGGCAATATTCCACTAAATTACAGTGGGGTATAATTCCAAATAAATATTCACAGAATTAGGACCTCTTATAACACTAAAAGTCCTGCTTAAATATTTTTTCTAAAACAGCAAGCTGTTGATT